AAAGTAGCTTACATCAAGCAGTGAAATAATGGCAGCATGTCATTTCAGGTGCAAGAATAACTCTCTGTGCTTTATGCAAATGAGCAGATGTCTCAGTGGTATGCGTCAGATTTCCTGTAAACATTGCATGGACACTTTTTTGGCTTTGGAAACTTTATGGTGCGTTTTACCACACATGTTAGCACCGTGGCCTAATCGAGTCCAGTCATTACGCTGATTGGTTTCACACCTACCTATTAGCAAATATATGGCCACACTTGAGTTAATTACACCAGACACACTCCCTTGCTTCCTTGCCTTGTCTCCTTGCGTCCTCGAGTCGCGTGACCTTTTCGCCAGATCGTTAAAAATCCTTCTACATTACACCAATTACACACGGGTCTATCCTATTCTATCTTTTATGGCTTTTTTTTGCTTTCCATGTTCCTTTCTGCCTTTATTAGCAGCGCCTGTAATGAGACGCACTAAATTAAATGTTTCCCAACAGCAAGCTAATGAAACAGACAGATTTATTAGTCATAACTCTACAGCTAATCATTTCTCCTCTCTAATAATTAGCCCGGGCCTGGATAAATCTTGGTCACATAGTATAGCCAAGTATAAACCAAAAACCAAGATGGCGTCAAGTTCACTTACATCAGTCGCACTGCTCACACCACACCCCATTCTTAATTAATTAGCACTAATCAGCATTTAGAAAAACCACAGAGTTTATTAGTGTCCCGTCAATTTTTATTTTGTTGCCTGTACACGGTTTAATAACACAGAATGATTTCAATTCATTGATTTCTGTTGCAGCAATTATATTTTATTAAAAGGCTTAATATTAAATAAAATAGCCATTAATATGAGTAATGAGCAGCAGAGATGGGCACAGCGGGGCGCGAGGTGTCGTTTTATTGTGTTGTGGAGCAAGGGTGACTAATGATGTAGTGATTTTTTCATTTTCATTAGCCAGAGGAAAGTGCAGGAGAAAGAAAGAAAGAAAGGAGGAGAGAAGGAGGTGAGAAAAAAGACAACATTCTGTCTGCGTGAGTGATCTTACTGCACTGTACTGGTCACTTTTCTACTGTTCTCAAAAGCCCACTTTGTTTTAAGATCATTGTAGCTTCAGTTTGTTGTGATTTTAATAATACGTCGATAATGTTTTGGCTTCGTGATGAATATGGTTATCATTGGTTGTCCTTCCACAGTGTCGTCAATATCCACTCAAATTTTAATATCAATAACTAGGTCACTTAAAGGATATTTGTGCCATATTAAAACTACCATACCACATGATGATTCCTTCTTTGCCTTTCATGTCCACATTGTAGATATATAAACTCTTTCCTTTAGTTGTTGTTTTTATCTATATTATTTGCCAAAAATGCAGTTGCACTTTTTCAAGTTTATTTCCAAAGCCCCGAGTCTATCTTTTTATTACTATGTAAATCTTTTGTTGTGTCCGCCAAAGTCCTCCTGCTCTCTCCCATGTTATTTGTTCCTTAGGGCACTGTTGCAACTTCCACTGTCTAATAAGAAGGACTTTACACAATGCATAACACTCTTTGCAAAGTAAAAAATTAGATTTGAGATATGATATATTATTCAATCTTTTGTTGTCATATACAACCAGATTGAACCTATCCAATAGCATTTCCTTCTATCATTTTCTTTCAGAAGACACAACAGAGCAACCATGGCACTGTGAGGGGACAGAAATAGCAGAGGAATAATGGTATATGTGGGCTATTGGACAAAATGATTGAAGCTAAAGCAAGGATTAACGCTGACTATAACATCCCACGAGAGATAAAGGCCAGTGGGAAACAGAATGGGAAAAAAGCGGGAAGTGCAAGGGGGGAGGGGCTGGGGTAATATATGGATAGAGCCCTATGAAGGTGGAATGACAAATGGGTCTCGAGTGACAGAGTCTTATATTAAAAAGTAAATTGATATGCAAATGTGCAGTGTGTGGCTTTGGAGGACTGGGATCGCCTGTTGTCCGCACTCAAGTGGAACAGAATAAAAAGGGAAAAGTGAGACTGATATGGCCGGGTTGGATTTGCATGTACGTTTTTGCCAGTGTGCGAAAAAAGTAAAGGAAAGAGCAATGCGATGGTAGCTCAACGCAACAGTGGTTTTTCAACAGCAAGATACAGTCCAACTTCATAGTGCAGCAAGGCAGTACAAAGTATCAATAACAGATGTAAATAATGCTTGTATGTATTGCGCAGTCATGTGGCGTGCAAATTATTGTGTGAAAATAGGCATTTAATCACTAAAATAGTAAACTAGTAATAGAAAAAGATTGCAAAAGTAACAAGTCAAATTTTCTTTTGAGAAACTGCTGTGAATATTTCATAAAAATATTTTAAAAGTTATTTCTTATAAGCAAGTTAAAACGAACTGTACTACTACTCTCACCAGATGTAGAGGTGGGTGGTGACCGGGGCATCCTGCGTAACTGAAAAAGCCATCTGGTTGATAATGACACATTGGCTTCAAAAAACTACGTAAATCCAGTTGTTTTTGTTTTAACTCGCTTAGAATATCTTATTCCTGGCTGTCTCAAAATTTGCATAAATTAATTCAAAGTTCTTTCTTATTAGAAAATAACTAAATCAGCTAAAATGATCAATTTAGCACTAATTATTTTTCTGTATTTTGTTCCGTTAAGGCTTACGGAAAAGGAAAAATACGTGCAAAAAAGAATTACATGAATTACATTTTACATTGACATTTTTTTCCAACTAACATTCATTTTTCCAACATGGATGGCATATGCAATACATGATCTACCTGTAGCCTCCAAACATGGCCCCCACATAGTACTCTCCTGAGTGGTTGTAAATTACAGGTCAGGGCATTTCAAAGATATTAAACCGAAGATAGATATGTGTGAGACAGAGGCACAGCTGTGGAGGGGAAAAAACAAAAGCCAGCACCATGTCAGGGGTCCGCGCCATGTTTAAGACTGCGGCGCTAATGATTCATGACACTTCTAACTGGAGAGGAGAAATGAGTCGCTATGTAATTACTATGGAAATGTGTTCATTCCCTTTCAGACACCCACCCGTAAAGCCAGCACCCATGACGACACCCTAACACATGCAGCCGTAGCGCTATAACAGATTTTGACGATCACGCTTGGTGCAGAGGTGTCACCCAAGTCCGTATTCCCCATATGTCGGTAACACATGTCCCACGTGTGTCAGGGGTCTAATGATCGGCTGTGGGTTCGCAGCTGAGAACCAGGTGGGGTCCTCAAATCCCCCTTTCAGGACACTCTCTGTCCCCTCCTCTTTATGCTCCAATGTGGGTGTCTGCCCATGTATTCCCAAGAGGCCATATTGACGTCTGGTTGTGGTCTGGTCGAGCAGTCAGCTGTGTAAAGGCAACATGGGATTAACCACCAACGGACTGAGTCTCATTCTTAGTCAAACCCATTACACCAGTCATTCACCCATTATTCAAAATATGTTTCTTTTTTAATAGTCAGCTACTTCAGTTTGTAGCATAAGCGGACAATATAAGTAGATGCTAGTGGGAAGGTGAAAAGTTAAAATAAAGGAAAAAGTAAATCATGACAATTTAATATTTTAAACAGTCTTTAATATCATCTTATAATGGCCAAGAACACTGTATTTCTGTGTAGATCTGAAAAAAAAAGAGTGGTTCTATAAATTTTAAATTGTATTAGTTTGTAATACAATACTCAGAATAGGTCAGTGAAAAAACACAAGATAGAAGTTTGGTGGATTCATTATCGCTGAAAGCTTTATTGATAGTACAGTTTATGCACAGGTCTTGTGCTGTATTTTTATCATTGTGAAATAGGGACAATGTTTTGTGCTCCCACTGCACTTCTAGTTTTATAATAAAGCCAAACAGAGACTTGTTATTTAATATTGCTGCCAGTTACATTGGCCAACAGCCAATGTCTGGTACAAGTTACAACCACATAGGTGCATATAAAATGGAAAATAAAATGTTAATTAAATTAGGTTCACCTTTATATTTGCCAGTGGAGTGAAGAATATTAATGATGGACATATATTATACACTAAAAACAAATTGAAGATGGCTGCTTCTGTGGCAGCCTTTTATGGTAGACCACCAACAATCTCAATTAGTCTGTTGAATTTGAGTTCATTCCATATTTGCTTGCATACTTTATAGAGCAATATAACAATTAGCATACATGCAATATAATTTAATTTCAAAAACTAATTTCATGCAGTTCATCGTCTCGTGGTTGTATATTTCACTGCAACTTTATAAATGCTATACTCATCTAACATAAAAAAATGATTTACAAATACTTGATTTGCACTGCAGTATAACATGTTTAGTTTTAGCTAGCAATAAAAACCTCATCATATAGTTTTATGGTTTTAGTCTCAAACACAGAATGAGCTGAATCAAAGCTGTTATAAATCTCTTGGACAGGGTTATGGTTGATTGGAGCTATTATCCTCTTTTTCACAACAAAAGAGAGAAAATGGGCTGACTTGAACATATGGCATTCAACATTTTCTTTATCCCACTGGGTTTGTAAAAATAAAAACTTCCTTACGGCCATAGGGCAGCGTATAAAGACAATCAATATTATCAATACTTTGGTTTTGATCAGTGACCTATAGTGTTTGTATGCAGATGAGCTGAGTGACCAGGCCATGGTGCTGGAGGCAGTGGTTATAAGGGCCAGAGGGGTCCACAGATGTGCTTTATCGAATGAATTGGAGCCCCTCGGACAAGTAGTATCTGTGGACACATGAAATCTCACTCCACCCGCGGCGCCAAACAGCTCAGAGTGAAGTGTGGAAGTGACAGGTTGAAGAATAGGAGAAGAATTGGTTGATTTGCTCCAGGCTTGTCTTAGTAAGAGACAATGGGGAAAAATCGAGATGAAAAGATATTTTACAGACTCCAGCGAATGCATTTACAGAGGAATTCTGTAGATTGACAACAATAATTCACTCAAGTTTTTTTTTTTTTTCCCCATTTTTCCTCAGGCATTGTGGCTACATCAAGGCCAAACAGGATCCTGATGAAGAGAAGATGCAATTTCAGCATGGGCGAGGTAAAAGAAAATAGAGAGAAACAAACTATTAGTAACACAATAGTGATTACACACTGACTCATTTTTAAATATTTAATGCAACGTACCAAAGCACATTACAGAAATAGTGAATTATGTTTGATGACAGTTGCAGTAAAGCATATATGTATATATGTATGTATGTATGTGTGTGTGTGTGTGTGTGTGTGTGTGTGTGTATATATATATATATGTATATATATATATATAAGAGATATAAGCAGCAAACGCAATTTAAGTGAAACCATTTATTGTCAGTAACGAGGCTGAAAATAACCAAACATGCAGGCCTCAGATGTTGTTATAGTAAAATTTCTAAATCTTTTTAAGTGTACTCAATCTTGTTAAGCATTTTGTTGTTTTTTTTTTACATCTCCATAGTAAATATAGTTGTGCTTAAATATATTTTGAGCATTTCTTCCTCCTCTGCAAAATCAGAGTTGGAAGGACACTACATTCAAACACAGGTGAACGCCTCATTCAAATTCACTGCAATGTTTGTTTATTTAGAACATACTCTGTTGGTACACCAAGCTCTATATGTATAACAAGCGTGAAACATCATGTAGCTGACTTTTAGTGGAGTTGCTCTTCACAGTTTTGAAAATCCACATTGGCTGACAGAGCGTTGCACCTTATGCGTTCCTGTTAAAACGTTGAATCATTTTTATGCACACAAAGAAGTTAATGTGTTGGAATTATGTAACCATTTTAGAATGTCACTCAAAACACATCGCCCACATCCACACTATACAAATATACCAGCTGGATGTAGCATGTTCTACAATGGCATGAATTATATTTGAATACATCTTTCAGTTTCTTGTATTATTTTATCTTTCCACAGTCAAACTTCCTGGCAGCAGAACGTACATCCACCCTCACACCTATGAAGACCCCAACCAGGCAATACGGGACTTTGCCAAAGAGATTGATGCTTCCAATATCCGAATAGAAAGAGTGATAGGAGCAGGTGAGTGCAGTGTTAAAAACTACAGGAGCTATTTTTCCTCTTGCTTAAAATGCTTTGTGTAACAGGAGAGTTTGGAGAAGTGTGTAGCGGTCGCCTGCGGGTGCAAGGAAAAAGGGAGATCTACGTAGCCATTAAGAGCCTCAAAGCAGGATACTCAGACAAACAGAGGCGGGACTTCCTGTCAGAGGCATCAATCATGGGACAGTTTGACCACCCCAACATCATCAGGCTGGAGGGAGTCGTCACCAAATGTGAGTTTCGATAAAGGCACCACCTCAATAGTGCAAATAATGACAGAGACCACATGAGTACATTGCACACTGACACAGAAGGTGATTGAACAGCTCGCAGAAATGACCACTTTCTTACCTCACATGATTATGTCAGTGTCTGTTGTGGTGGGCGTGCTGTTGGTAAGGTCTGGATGGAGCAGATATGTGATGTGTTATCAGCTGCTCTGGGACAAATACCTCCCCACGCCATGATTTCAGCTCTCCACATATCTCATACCGCTCCCTCTCCCTTTTATTGGCACAGATTCTCTCCAGATTTTTGTTGACCATGTCCACTTGTCGACACAACATTAAACTATAAAAATATGAACTATAAAACACCCCCAGTAAGGCAGTAGAGTGTATCCTGTAAAGTGCTGTCACATGAGCAAAAACATAGTCCTTGTAAAACAGTATGGTAAGATCGTATTAAAGGGTTAGCATCTACTTCAAACCACTTACAAAACTACAGAAGATAAGACCTTTTGAACTATTGTTGCATTCCTAAAAGTGAATGCCACAAATCAGCATTAAAAAGTGCTCGTCTTTTCCTCAAAAAGATTTCCTGTCCACCCACACAATGGCACAAGGGGCTGTAACAAAAGAGCAAATGCATATGCATAGCCTCCACTAATGAATATTAATAATTCATAGAGTTAATTGGATGTGTTTTAGCCTCATGAATATTCAGAGGCCAAACTGCGTACCACATTCATTCCCCTGTCCCTCTCTCTCTCTGCTTGTGTAAATAATGTTTGATGTAAACTGTGACCTTTGATTTCCAGCAGTTTGTCGAGAAAACTGCCGTGGCCAAATGTAATGTGTTTTTCCTGACAGCCAGACACGCAATTACAGGACACTGACAATTCTGATGAGAATAACCAAAATAATTCAGCTGTAACTGCCAGAATCCTTCAACATTTCACGACTGGGGACAATTGTCGAATCAGCAAAACACGATGTAACTGCCATACAAAGTATTCTGTTTTCTGTTCTGTATGAATATAAAGCATGTTTCCATTTGGAGCTGCATCTAGCATTTTTATGTATTTTTTGTGGGGTTCCTTTGTCTCTCTTCTCACCTGTCTTTACGGCGCATTGAGGAGCTGATAGAGCCCCTCAGAAACAAATCTCACTAGCAGAGCAGTAATTTCACAGGTCACAGCTCTGGCTAGATTTGGGGTGAGAGTTGAGATGGGTCAATAATTCCTTCAGGACTTTTTTTTCCTGCTACACCAGCTGGTCCCTTCACGCCGGGCCGAGGTCTAATCAAGCGGGCTGACCCTGACTGGTCCGGGCTCAGGTGGGACGGGGTGGGCTACATGGGCGTTGTGGTATTAAAGTGTGCGAGCATATTGCCCGTTGTTTGTGTTGTTTGGCAAAGGGTACTATACGATCTAAATTGTCGGTGGCAGGTCTTGATTAGATATCTGAAGCTATCAGCTGCCTGCAATGTGAAATGTGATGCGACAACTATTTTTCAAGTAAGCAAGTAATATTAAGCATGGAACTGAAGAAAATACACATAGGAGCTAGAATAGTACAATCTTCTTGTGGTGGTAACAAATTGTCTGGGTCAGATTAATTTGCGTAGTTAGGTCATGGGTATTTTATAACTGGTTATAATGAAAACTTCAGTCTTAATAGTTGTAATTTAATATTTTGCAAGCCAAATCAAAAAACTTAATAAAGTCATCTCGCAACTGGAAATGGAAAAAACAAAAGTTGATCACAGGGAGGTTAAAATTCTGCCAGCAACAAAGAAAATACAATGGAATTCAGCACTGAATCATTTAAAAAGATAAAGCTTGTTGGCTAAATCTGACCAAATCTAGTTGCATTACAATTGAATTTATTACAGCTTATAGCTTTATTGTTTAGTATACAGAAAATGTAATTAGTGAATTTGATGTATGTTAAACTCTGTTAATGGGCTAAAATGTCTGATGTTTAAAGGCAAAGTGTTGACCCTGGCAGTTACAGCTAGAGCATTTTGTACAGTATAATTGTTCAGAATATGTGTAGAAAAGTGACGGTAACAGTGGTGCGAGTAGGGCGAGGGCTGTTGTAGGATTATTTATGCCGACATTTGTGTGAAAGTGCATTGTGCACGCTGCACTTTAAGAGGCCCCTGCCGCGTGCCATTCCAATAAATTTCTCTGCTGTCTGTCACCTGATTGTCGCTATTGTCATGCTAATTACAACCCCACATGCAGAAAAGCAGAAAAAATAGATCTTTTTGAGATTCTGTCGCTCTGCCACCCCCACCCTCTCCAATCTCGGCTTCATCTACCCCATCCCGCATTCTCGACATAGGTCCTTTATGTGGTGCACAATCACTGCAACTATCAGCTCATTTAAAAAACCCTCAATTACCCACAGACACACACTTACAAACACCATTCCAAGGTGTTGTTAAATCAGGGGAAAAATGCTAACATGCGTTTTCCATTCAGTCTTCTATGGCGAAGAAACTAGTCATTAGTTCTAACTGCATGTCTTTGTCCTAAGAACAATAGTGAGAGTGATGTAAAAGGATCGATTCTGAACGTGTATACAGATGTGGAGATTACACAGCTGAGACAATGGAGGACAGAAGTATATGTATATGTATAGTACTATATGTATGTATAGAGAGAGAGAGAGAGAGAGAGAGAGAGAGAGAGAAAGAGAAAGAGAGAGAGAGAGATGATTTCTTTGTTCTTTCTGGGTTTCATTTGCCATTTAAGTTAAACACAATGACATATACTTCCTGTAACAAACTTCTCCAGGTTTGGGAAAGGTACAAAGAACCTGTGTCTCTGTAGCTGACTAAAAAACATAATAAAGGATTTTAAATATGAATGTTAAATGGAATAGCAAAATCAGAAGATGTAATTATACATAAACAAAATATTGCAAATGATTATATTGAAAACACTGCCAAAATGTGTGTATAGATCTTCTAAACATACATATAGAGGGTAGATTATACAGCCAAGACAATAGGGCAGTAAAGGTTGTGGGGCAGGGGGGTAAGGAGTGAGGAAAGATGAGATAGGATACAAGAGGGGAGGAAATGAGGAAAGGATTCAGGAACAAATGAGGCTGTGGAGATTCATGGTGAGGATAGACCCGAGGATCCACAGTGAGGAGACAAACGTGAGGAGATGAGCAGAGGAGATGAGGAGAGAGGAAGAGGGAGAGAGAGGGGATGAGGGGAGGAGGGGGGTGGGTGGGGTGTAGAGAAGATAAGGTTATTGAGTTTCTGTCTGTGTGTTCCCAACGCATGCCACTTCCTCAAACCAAAGATCTGCCCTGTGTTAAAAGCATTGTATCATTTAGTCCGGACTCTTAGCATTAATCAATACAGCAGTTATTTAATTTTCTCATTTGTACCTTGGGCCACCTCATTCAATAATGTGGTAATGCTGCCCCACAGATAGCCGCTCATAATGTAATCGTCCAGTTGTGTACAGTCCCTACCGCTTCACATCGACACGCCCACAAACAAACAGGCGCTCATAACAAGCTCCCATAATGTCATTTACCAGGTTTAGACTGCACGCTTCACTCATTTTCAAACTGAGAATGACTGACAACGCTTTTACTCCGACCTAATGAAGAGCTGTTTGCGTCTTTTTGTTTTCTTCAGTCTCTTCTCTGATCTATCCTATAACACACTCCACCTGGCACAACATCAATAGCCAATCTGCACACACATCCATTCCTGGGGAGCCAGTGGTTTTAAGCTCGATGTTAGTGTTATTTCTGAAGGCAATGAAAGCAATACATCTGAATGAATATGAATGTGATTAGTAAATTAGTTGCTTTCAGGAAGAAATGGAGGCTTGTTTTGTGCTGGGAATTTAAAGTGGCTTCTCTGCTGCTGAGATGTCTGCATTTCAAATGTATACACAGCGCGATGGAGCATGCTGTGTAGACTATAGCAACCGACAAGTGCATTTGTGCAAGTTATTGTGTGCTTGATATACAAAGTACCGAACAAGTTAATACACAGCATGAGGGGGGCCTATATTGGTAACATCTGTTATCTTTCAGTGTTGTGGGGATAATTCTGCATGGCAGGTGTCCAGATGATGGCTAGCGATAGCATGAATAGTGTGTCAGTTACTACATGGGAGGTTTGTGGGGCTTTCCAATAAGAGACAAGGAGATAAATGGTTTTCATAGAAAGTCTCTCTTGACTCCTGCCGCTCACAACCTGGGCTTCAAGGTTATATCCTAAACACACATGGAGTGCACAGAAACACACAAGAGGGACACTGCAGTAGCAGCCACATGCACACACATGTAATTGGTTTCCAGTGTCTGTTTCTTAAAGATGGCTTCCATTTCAGAGCTGTCTACAGTGTACAATATGAGATTTAGATTGCCCTATCCATGTTCAAGATAAACACACGGTATAGGATTGCACTGGATGACTTTCTATAGAGCGAATGAATGAACACCTTGAAACATTTGTACAAAAAACAAACTTAAGGGAATCCAAAACTACCTTTTATGAGCCTTTAACCATGCTAGACGGATTTTCAATCACAACTAGGGATGGGCATGATTAATCGATTAATCGATAATTGATCATTAAGAATTTCATCGATTACGTTAATTTTAATCGACAAACCGAATGTAGGTTGCTGTGCGTAGCGTGACCAAACAGGGGTCCGTACATGTAGCTCTCTGCACTCAGAAGGAGCGAGCAAACACAAACAGTAGGTCAGCCTGCAGCGTGCCGAAGCACAAATGTGTATTTAACGATGATTTGTACAAGAAATTCCACGCTTTCTGTTGCGTTCGGGACAAGTGTGAGTCCTTGTGCACAGTGTACAAAGCAGCACATATGTTTCGGTGTCCAGTGGGAAAAAGTTTTACCAGGTGAGAGTCGCACAATGTCGATGACGAGTCCCCCACCTCCCACCCCCCATACAGTGTCTTGGTTTTGACAAACGCAAATATGGTCACACTAACCTGTATTCCACTGAATAATGTCTTTTAATCCGACAGAAATTGACCACATGAGCGACACAAGAGCTGTAGTTTTATCTTCGCTGAGTTTATGCAAATTAGCGATGCGGTTTTAAGTTTCGTTTCTGTGAGAGTTGCGCAAAACTGAATTAAACACATTATAATGTCAAACGGATTGATGTGGCTCTAGAGTCATTACGGTTTATATGTCGTAAAGTTGAATTTATTTATGCAGATTAGTAGTGCAGATAGTAATAATAATGATGATCATTTTAATATAAAAACGTTAATGATTAATCGATAATCGATCGTTAATTCTTCCGACGGATCGATTAAAAAAATTTCATCGAATGCCCATCCCTAATCACAACCAGATTACTTAGAGTCGTATTTTAAGTGATTCATGCATGTTTGAGTGATACTGTGTTGTCTTGCATTTGCGAATTGAGCTCTATATAAAAAAAAAAAACTGTATATGCATTTTCCAAAATACAAATTAAATAAATAAAAATCTGCTGCTTGTTACAGTGAAATGCCACTATGGAGAAGCATTAGAGAATTAGTTATACTGTTTCAAACAGCTGGTCAATGGAGTTTTATATCTTAATAAGAAGCCATTTTAGACATATATATTTATGAACAAAATACAGTTGACTATTAACACAACTCAATTAGTTGGTCCTTTCACCTATTAAAAAGAGCCCTCTCTCATAACATGCAGAGCAGGCTCCCTCTCTGACTGCTGGTGCTGCCCAGAGCGGAGCGTGCCTCTGTGCCACACATGTCCACAGAGTCACAGTGCAGAGCCTCGTGTGCAGATAAATGCTGCAGCCATCCTCACCCGCAGCACAAGAAAATCCAATTCTCTTTCACTTTTATCCCTGAGACTAATGTTACTGTCACAGGCGACACCGCACCAGGAGCCCGGGCCCCTGTTTGTGTGTCTGACCCCCACTGTTGTACGTGTGCTGTGGGAGATAGTGAATTCATTTAGGCTGATGTATTGCCGTCTTTACCTGCAATCTCTCAGGCCTCAGAGCGGCTGTTGTGTCTTCACCGTGACGAGATGTGGACCAGTTGAGCTCCCCCAGTATGCCTTTGTTTTCTGGATACAGGTCTCTTGTTGTGGACATCTGAAAAATAAATAAATATTTGAAATGTGAAGATAAGGGGGAATTTTTAAGCATCTGTATTGATGGACCAAAACAAGAGACCCAAATATTACCACGACAATGCATAGAGGGTCCTCCTTTGCTTAGACTCAAAGTGAAGGTTTTCAAGTTTAGTGGCAATACTTCAATACAAGTGTTATTAAGTGTAGGCACTCAAGAGCACTTATCAAATATCAGCTTATATGCTTATGTTTGTGAATACTTCTCAGTCAACATCCTTTTTAGAAAGTGAAAGAAATACACTGTAAGCAATATGAAAATTATATATGACATTTTAAAATACATAGTTTAGCCTTTAACAGATATGAACGCAATACATACACATATTGACACAATACTGGAAAAATTCCATAGTGTAATTGCATCCTAATGAAAAAAATATCCTGGACACCCTTCTATTTTCTAAGTTTGCACTGTATCCTAGCGTGTTGTTTTGTGTTGTTCTTATAATGTCCTGATAAAGCTCTCTTCTCTTGAGCGTCTCTGCAGCCCTGTGACCTATTCATCACAGTTGTCACTATCTATGCCTTTACAAGCTCCCCTCTGACACAGACACACCATCATTTGTTACTACTCTTACCCATTTTGTCTTATCCCTGGTGGGGGGATGGTTCACCAAATGCTTTCCCTTTCTTTCTATGGCTACATGTACTTGTGACCACCTATTCTGTTAATCATTTGTAAGCTCCGGCAGATGCCATGCAGGGATCTCAAGAGTGCACGGTGGTTGTCAGTCAACACAAACACACAGGTGCAAAGAAACCACAACCTCTCTTCACCCCCTCCCTAACCCCCCCTAGTGGCTGATTAGTATTCATGAGATCTCTGGAGGCCTCCACATACACACACACACACACAGGAGTGGCTCGGTCCATTCTAATTATCTCGTGGCGTTTATGGCAGCGCCTGATTAGAACCTGTCAAAGTGACTGATGACGACATGCTAGTTATCCCAAGGGAGACACAGACCGCAGCTGTGCAGACTACCCCGACCCTGTGGATTTATAGTTTGTTGCTTGTAACTCTGGTAATAATATTAATAATTCGTTGTTGTGTTCTTTTGCAGGTAAGCCCGTCATGATCATAACAGAGTTCATGGAGAATGGGTCACTGGACACGTTCCTCAAGGTGAGAAGTGGTGTTCACATCACAGCTAGGAGCAATACAGGGATGACATTGAAGGCAAGGTTAAGGGCTGGCAGGACTGCACACAAAAGCCAGGTGTAAAATGCTGTTCCAACTGTAAAAAGGAGGTAAAATTGAAGGTTTTATTTGGTGTTTTTTTAAGTAATAAAAGAGGGATACTGTCATAAAAAGATCAAGATAAGTTTAGACCAGCACAAGATTCAATAAAATATACTGGAATTGAGGGTAACAAACTACCATGCCCCCCCTCCCCTTTTAAAAAAGTTATTATTTGTTATATTTGACAATGATAAAGGGTGTGAACCCTTGTAGCAGTAGTTAGTCAATAAAAAGCTTTTTTAGGTTTACTTTGTTCTCTGACTGAACAAAACAATGAGTCAAACTACACTATTTCACTGAAAGACAGTGTTTTAAAATGTATCAAGTTTTCAGACTTTTCCCTCAAAGTACCAAAGACAGACATTTGAGATATAGTGGAGGTGAAGGTCTCGTCTGTGACCAGATTTTCAAATCAAAGTATTTCTGTGTTATTGAAATCGACAAAATGACAGCAGTTGGAGGAGACTGTCACTCAATATGCCATTAACAGAATTGATGTGTTGAAGGAATTAGTCCTTCAAGTCTGGCTCTGGAGCAAAGAGCTGTGAGAATAGACCCTATAAGATAAAATCATGACTGACTTCACAAATGATGATTCCTTTAATATTTTACAGTCTTATCGCTTCACCCTCAACTACATTTAACACAACTTTGCCCCAGTGTCTTGTTTCCTGTTTCCTGATTCATATTCAGCGTTGTTTGTCTGCCAGTAAAATCACTGCAATGCTATTAAGTCAGTGATGATAGTCTGAGCGCTAAGCAGGCACCAATCCCATCAGCAACACTGAAGCAAAATAAAATGAATTCTGACAGATGAAAACAGCCAAAGAATGTAATGTCGGGATACACAGCGACACACATGGGGTGTGTGTTAGCGGTGTAAAAATGACTCGTAAAGAGGCAGTGCAGTGGCACAATATAATTATGGAAACAGTTTTATAGTTTTACAGCCAGTCAGTGCTACTGCCCACCATGTGTCTTTAATTAGACTCACTGTTTATTAAGCAGCTGTCCCACAGAAATAACAAAATACTAATATGTGAGGAGCCCTCTGACCCTACACAAAGCAAAGTCCACAAGTACACTAAAGTGTTAATATAATTTAAATATAATAATGTGGAATATATAACAATATGAAAAACATCATGACAAATCTGAATGATAAATATCAGTGTTATAGGTGTATGGTGTAACTTTTCTGGTGGAGAGTCTGCTGTTTGCTTGTTTCCGTGTTGTTATTGCTTTGCCTGAAATGTTCCACATTATGGCATTAAATTTTTTGCCATAATGTGTAATAATAATATTTTTTCCTGGCATTCCTTTCACGACTTTCTCTCTGATAAAATTGTTGTACTAAAAATGCCTTTATAAGATAGGCAAACCTAATCGTGGTTGTATCATTTTGCAAAAAAAAAAAAAACATTTCCATATCCCGTCATGCATCTTACTCATCACCTTGTAGGACTTTGGTGCCCTGCTTTTGCCCCCTGCCCCCCTCTCTCCCCCCTCTCCTTCCTGGCAGTCCGGTGTGGTGGGCAGATTGATAGAGGAAGTCTGTAGGTTTGTTAGACAGTCCAATCAATCAGCATCTCACAAAAACCACGGGCTAATTAACTTACTCCACAGCTGCCCAGTGAGAGTGACGGGGACAGGAGGAGAGGCACCCGTACATGCAGAAAGAGCGCACGAATCCAAGACGTAGATGAATGAAGCTAGTGTAACAGAGATGATGTATAAAGCAGAGAGGGTGACTGATAACATGGATGGCTTTTTAACAGAGACCATTGGCCCAGGGCTGAAATAATTGGCAGGAGAAGATGAGGCGGACAGTCATTGATCAGACATACGCTACTCCCTCTGCCAACTCAAATCGGGGGTCTACGAGAACACTTGGCAACGCAGGCAGGAGCTGAAAGCAAAGTTTAGCCTGCACCGATTTCACACTTGTAGGATTCTTTCAGATCTTTGCTTCAGTTTGATTTGGGAGAATTCATGTTGCTTGTTGTCAAAATAAGTTCAGACTTGGTACAATTCGATAAGATACAAATACTACTATTTCTATTCTATTCTATTCTATTCAATTCTCACCCTTCATGTGAATAATGCATTTTACAAACATCACTTCTGCTCCTATCTTGCAATGGTGGCTAATTATTTTGTCAGAAATTTATTAATTTCATCTCATTTTATCTGCACAGTCCAATGCCAGAGCCTGAATATTTAATCTGCTGTTAACCTTTATCAGTATCTACAGATCTGACCATTCAACCACTTGTGTTTTTTACGTCACTAGTGGGATTAGAACTGCCAACCTTCGAATCAGAATAATCATTCTACAAACTGAGCTACTGTTTACTCATCACTCAATAAATACATTTTTTATATATTAAAAAAACAGGCAAGTTTGAGCTAAGTACACCCAGTTAAGCATTAATTGTTCTTCCTTTGTGCAGAAACACGATGGTCAGTTCACAGTGATCCAGTTGGTGGGCATGCTGCGTGGCATTGCCTCTGGGATGAAGTACCTGTCAGACATGAGCTATGTGCACAGAGACCTGGCAGCGCGCAACATCCTGGTCAACAGTAACCTGGTGTGTAAGGTGTCCGACTTCGGCCTCAGTCGAGTTCTGGAGGACGACCCGGAGGCTGCGTACACCACCAGGGTAAGAACCAGCTCGACATGTTGTTTTTACTTGTACATTCACATTACATGTTATGTTTTACTTTCGTGGGGCAATGGTAAGATTATGTTGTTGTCTATCTATGTACTGTCAATATCCACATAGTAATTGATACTAAAATCAAAATTTGATATTTTTTGAGCAGGTATCAATAGTGAAAAAATGACTTATAGGAAAAAGTTGGACCTTCCTGAAAAGTTTGAATGGTCTTGGCATAAGACCACATGGTACTGTTGAGGAAGAATTATATTATATTTGTAGAATGGTAAGCTCAGGGAATATTACTTATATTACTATAATATAATATACAACTAATACTAATATCAGAAAAAAACATTTTTTCAAGTCACTACGTTTGATGAAAAAAGTTAGCAAAAAAGTAAAAGTACATCTCCTACTTTAGCATTATATATGAGAAAAATGCCTAGTCTTTCAACTGAATACACTTAATCAAATGGCAATAATGTGTACCTTGACACTGAAAAGTAAAGCTCTATCATAATGCACAAAAGTATTTAAATTCAGCCTCCTCCCCCACCAGTCTATTGTATTATGGAAAGTCTTCAGTAATATCAGCATCCACACTCTGAAACTCAAACGTCAGTGAGTTAAACCACAGCGGAGTAACTCATCTAAAATGCCCACGAGGAGTTGGCATTATTCATATTCATAGGAAGTGTTGAGGATGTTATTTTTAATATGGCATTAGCATTGCCCTGGGATGAGTGTATCAAGCGCTGACTGCTCTATTGCAATCACACACACGCACAACACACACCCCACACACACACACACACATACACAGGCTGATGTCAGGAGTCCTAGAAGGAGAGCTGCGGGCGCTGTGGGGGTGTGGTGGAGATGGGGGAGAGACGGAGGATATCAAATAAGATCCAAGGATGAATAGGAAAAGCCAGGGGAAGATTCAAGCCAGCATTGTCATATAGAGAAAAGAATGGGTACTGTTGGACTGGGGGTGATGGAAGTACAGCATTGAGCTACTTGACAACTTTGTCTTTTATTTGACTTTGGCCAGGCAGACTCAGGCAGTGTTAGGTAGTGCAGAGGCAGTAGCAGCATGTTAAAAAGAAAGCCCTATAGGTACAGTGAGTGAATGGTGCGTGCGTGAGTGTCAGACAAAACAAGTTCAGAAGGAGGGGGCATGTATTGTGTTGCCTATTGAGGCCATACGGCAAGCTTTATAGAGTCCTTTTGATCTACGCATCAGCAACAAAGGCAAGGGTTCAACAGCGGGAGAGGTTAATAAGAGTAATGCTAGAAGGGAAGAAAGACGTGACCAAGACAAAGCAGCAGGCAAGGGGAATCCTCTTATATGAGTGCAGTAGACTAATACTGTATAATCACATTGGCTCTCAACGTGGACTCGCCTCTCTACACCAATACATCCCATTATAATTCATATTTTCTTCTTTGTCATATTATTATTCACGCCACTAAACCCACAAACAAGCTCACAATATACCGAAATGAGAGGGACCTACTTAGACCATGATTTTTTGCTCCTTTTCAGTGTTATTAAGTGCTTTCTGAACTCTTTGAATTACGATTCACACTAAAGTCTTGTCAAGACATTTTAAAAGGAAAAAAGTTAGATAAATAATTTTGTTAGCCTCTCCAACAATAAATATTGAACGATATACATTGTGAGATGCATATCTTCATTATAATGTACTATGAGATTTGGATATCATTGACATGACTAGATATAATAATCCTGCTATTTTACAGAGCAGCATGCATGTTTTAACAGTTTGTTCCCATTTACAGGGAGGAAAGATCCCCATAAGATGGACAGCCCCAGAAGCTATAGCCTACAGGAAGTTCACCTCCGCCAGTGACGTGTGGAGTTATGGCATAGTCATGTGGGAGGTGCTTTCATATGGAGAAAGACCTTACTGGGAGATGTCCAACCAGGATGTGAGTCATACATGAAGCACTGATTGATAAACTGTTGTTGATAACGCACTGATTCATTATATTACTTTATTCACAACATTACTTTGTCTTCCAAGGTGATTAAAGCAATAGATGAGGGCTATCGTCTTCCAGCTCCAATGGACTGTCCTGTGGTGTTACATCAGCTCATGTTGGACTGCTGGGAGAAGGGGCGCAGCGAGAGACCCAAGTTTGGACAGATTGTCACAATCCTGGACAAACTCATTAGAAACCCAGCCAGCCTGCGTGACCTGGCCAACAGTTCAGTGTGGTCAGTATGCCAAACATTATATACATGTTTGTTAGATCTGTGAAAAACTACTCAAGATTTAAAATGTAATTATACAGTGTGAAACAAGAAGACCTCTGCCAAGCCACCAGTGTTCCAACATTCATCCAGACATACGGAGTCACACCAAACAGCCCATTTCTGACCTTTCCTGTAAATACATCAAATCCAGAGACACAGGCAGACCAACAAACACATGAAAAGTAACCTAGCAACCAATTCTATGTTCTACAAAAAAGTAGTAGTCCACAGTGACCTTTGGCAGAACCTGACTCAGATGTATTATCTTTAGCAGGGAGGACCCAACGACTCCAGAGTTCAGTGTAACCACAGTGGACGAGTGGTTGGAGGCCATTAAAATGGGCCAGTACAAGGAGAACTTCTCTAGTGCGGGATATGTCAGTTTAGACTCAATCCTCTACATCAGTGTCAGGTAAAGTGGCTTCAGATTAAAGATGCACTATGTAACTGCTTTTGGTGGAGTATCTGCCACTTGAACTATTATGAAAAAAAAAAAAAAAAAATATATATATATATATATATATATATATATATATATATATATATATATATATATATATATATATATATATATATATATATATATATGATTTATTTTCCCTTTCAGTGAGCTGTCTAAGATGGGCGTGACTCTGGCAGGCCACCAGAAGAAGATCCTGTCCAGTGTGCAGGGCCTGCAAACGTCGGGAACACATGTTCAAGTATAACAGTTTCCCTATAAACACACAGTGGGACTGAGCCAAAATGGAGGTTCCTGTGAAGAGTACCCCGCTGAAACAGAGGCGTGATGGATACTCTATACTGGGGCCACCATTGATTTGGAGACGCACCACTATGGAGCCAACATGGACGCTTGACTCCTTCACTTCTCCTCCTGCAGTCTCACCTTTGACTCTGGTCCGAAATGGCACTACCGGCTTTAGCACTCAATACACAATAATGAAGTAACAGAGAGACACTCGCTCAGCAACATGGCGTCTACTGTACATCCTTCAAAATCACACCATATCATCGTTGAAAAAGACAAAAGAATGACAAAATACATCAAAAGACTTCATTTGATCACTGTCTGTGAGGTGTACAGTTGGTTCCTACTGTTATTTTGAGTTCTCACTTTCAAAGTTGAGTAGGCCAGATCATATGTATTCTGTGTAGATATGTGTTTATATGGGCTGTGTGTCCCACAAGCATAGAAATGGACCTAACGTTTGTATTGGTGGTGAAGTTTATAAGCGTAATAAGATTTATAACCCAGTACATGTAAAGGCCCCCCCGATGTTGCTTGGGAAGGAGGCAAGTTTCTGAACGATGAATGTGTGGGGTATAGGGGAAACAGGACCTTAGGAGGTAGAGAGGGGTATAGCTCAAGAATGATTTGTTTAGTGTGTATGACAAGGATAAGGGCTTCCCATTCCCAGTGGCTGCTCTTCAGAACACTTCCTTATAGAAACTAGATCAGGGGTGCGGGTAAAACTGTTACTACTCTTCCACAGCTATAGTGGTACCTCCCAAGCTTGTGTATAAAAAGAAGTATGTATTATGTTGCAGGGAAAATGCCAGCACAGGAGTTCATATCTTTCAGGTGTAACAAGAGAGTTTAAGTGTTGTGAAAAGGTGATACAAAATGGTCACGTTAGAGTTGACACTGTTAAGAACGTGTAGCTGTTTTTTCAGTGTGGTGCCATGTACAGTAACCTTCAAAATGTTCATCTCCCATTGTGCATCGTTCACCAGCTCCCACTGCTTTTACAAGGAACACAAGGCCAACCAACTGCACCACAAATAGATGAGTAGTAGGAATATTGACTTAAAAACTTGCCATTTCAATTTGAAGGTTTTGTCTAAAAAGATCTGAGAGCCAAGTATTCTGTATAATTACTATGGCTAAAGGGTTTTCAAAATTTTTTTTGTTTTATTTCTTTAGGTTTTCTCCCATTTAAAAGGTACAATACAATCTTTTGTGTCCACTGCATCACTAGCACTGAACTTGCTTTGAGTTTCTCTGGTACTCTTTAGGACCAACCATTGCATAAAGTACAGTATATATGAAACATGTATTATAGTGTAAATTCTGTACAGTGTTGATTCCAATGTTAGAATGTTTCTAATGATGATGATAATGCCGATGATGTACTTTAATTGTGAAAAAGAGATTTTGGCGTTCGGGGGCGGGTCACGCTGGAGCATAGTGTTGTGATTTCATTTGACTGAACAATGGAATGTAGCATGGTTGCAAAGCTTCTGTGTTGACTGACAGGTGACAGTGACTGCAGTTTCTACCATAGTGTTACATTGAGTAGAATGAGCTTTGACTCCTTTTGAATTCATATTTAAAGAAAGTTGTGTGATATCAACTGGTAATGGTTTTAAGTGTTCATATTAAGAAATGTTAAATTATCCCTAACAGAGACTAAACAATCAAAGTTTTATTTATTAACTACAAAAAGTCAAACCTAGGCCTGTCACGATAACACATTTTTAAGTACAATATATTAATGCAATAAATATAGACGATAAACGATACTATTGAAAGTAATTTATGCCACTGAAAGTAATCAGCAGATTTATACCACAAATTTCTACAATATTGTTAAAAAAACACAAGCTGCAACAAATAAATAGTTGAAGGAAACACTTTAGTACTTCATTTGCATCTGTAATGAGCCATAGAAGTTATTCATTTGACTTAAATCTCATCATATAGCCAAAAAAAAAACCAACAAAAAATGCACCAGAAGTACAAAGAAAAAGTACACATACTGATCCCAAAAATATTGTTCCAGCTTTCGTATGTTGAATGATAAGTCAATATAGTATTATTTATAGTATATAGTATTTATTTATTTATCGTGACAGGCCTACTCAGACCTAATAATTTGGTTTTGCAACAACAACAAAAATTACCTCCAATTTCACACATTAACACTGGAGACCTTAGTCTACACCATAGCTCAGACATCCCACTGTGCATGATCTAGAATCTAAAACAAAAAATAGACATTAAGTTTCACATGAACATATTACAAGACCCATTATGAAAGCTCCCTTACACATACGTTCTACAATTTCTATAATTTCTACAATAACAAAAGTCCATTCTACTCTTGCTAACACTATGACTTCACTCTAGCGGACTTCCTTTGTGCCGCTTGCCTTTTAGATGCCTTATTTACTAAGCTCTTGTTCTTTTCTGTTGTCCTCCAGAGGCAATATTAGGAGTGAAGTGTATGTACAGGTAGTATTTATCTGTGTTGCTTTAGGCTACTTCACATCCACACACCCTGGTTTTGTAACAAGCCAACCAGCCAGGCTTTAAATAGCACCTCCACCACTCTGCAAACTGAAGAAAGAGGTTTGTAAAATATTCATTAAAGCGATGGCCAATAAAAGCTGACGATGACGATGCTCTTATTTATTTCAGTATTAATCAAGACAAAGTGGTGTTGTGATTGGCTACACTTGATATATTGGTTACACAGTTAAGGACACGGAAAAAAATATGTCCTTTCACAAGCTTTGGAAAATCACCAAAATTGACGCACTACAGAGCTTGTGTCACTCTTCACTAGGCCTGTCACGATAACATGTTTTGAATCACGATATACTGCTACAGAGAAGTATCGCGATAAAGGATAATACTAGTATCCCAGTAAAACATTTTTAAAATACATTTAATTAAAAACCTGAGCTATAACAAATAAATAGCAGAAAGAAAAGAACCAATAATTAGTCTAAAGCTCAAATCTCCCCGTATTACATAAAAAATAGCAGAAACCACCCACTATTGCAACAAATATATGCTGGTGATAAATATCGTGGCCCAAAATATATTGTTCAAGCTATCATATATTGAAGATGATATAGTAATTATCGTGACAGGCCTATTATTCACCATTTCAAAGTTAGCTGTGATCATTAATTCTTCTTGTCTGCCATTTTTGCACAAAGGTCAGTATTGTTCATGAGTGATTCTGAGCTCTTTCTCTCCTTCCTTTGAACACCTCTTCTGACCATACAATATACATATTTGTCCACTTGCCAGTTCCCTCTGCGTTGCCTGCTGTAAAGGGTGTAGAAACTCTAATGTCTTTCATGTTGCTGTAATAAATATGCTAATATTTCTAATTTCTCACCTCCAGCCTGCCGTGAGTTTTCTTTCACACTTTCACTATTCCTGTGGCACACCTTAAGCGAGTGACAGAATTTAAATTTGTTTGCACATATTATTTTCATCAAGCATGGTTGCCAACGGGTTCCAATTACTGTCTATAAAAAATAAAGAAAACCGTTGGAGTTCTTGAAATAAGATAAGAGAACCTTTTGGCACAGAAATACACTTTACCTATAGACATCATGCAATGGCTATTTACATGAAAAGACATGAAAATATGAGTATTTGTACTTGGGCACATTTTGGTATTAGGTGTTTTAGAGTCCCAAAAATGCCTTGTGCAAAGAAATGAAGTTGTGTAGCTGAAAAGAGTTAGGCTAAATAAGGCTCTATGAGCAGATGGTTATGATGCATTTAATACTGTGCATTGTCTGTGCATAAATATGGTGGGACTAGGATTACTGAAAATATTTTTGGTTCACACAATCTATTTGCCAGTTTTACAAACAAAGAAATTTATTGTTTAGTCACTCTGTCTAGATCATTCAAAACTGGTTCCCACATGTCTGCAACTGACTATCAATGTATTTTCCCCAATGCAATTATGCTGAATAACATTTTTAAAAGGTCCTATATTATACCTACTATACCTACCTAGGTGCATACTTGGAATTGTGTTCTGCTTCATTCATAAATGTTTAAGTAACCCTTTATTATTAGTTTGTCCACATGGCCAAAGCTCAAAATGCTCTATTCCACCTTGTGATGTCATAAAGCTGTAGTTTTCATTTTAATAGCTAACTTTTACCTTTAGTTTAGTAGAGATTGGCTATTCCTGGGCTGAAATTATCCAAATGATTCTGGTGAAGGTGTATGAAAATCACAGTGGAGCATTTCCTGTATTACCACATGAGTGTTTTCTGTTTGAGAGAAGTAGTCCTAAATATGCAGGGTTTGTGTGTTAAACATGTGTGAATGAAATAAAACAGCTCGAGGTATGTTTGTGATGAAGAAACTGCATTGTAACATAGAATAGAAAATAGTGGGACCTTTAACTGATTCTTTCATTGCTGATTCCATACGCACGTCCACCAAACCATTTTTGTGTTTTTACTCAGTGCATCTGTTTGCATGACTGGGCTATTTTGCTCCCAGCTGGGATCGGGTGGTGACAGTGGTGGTGAAATTCCCATCATAACATCCACAAATGGTAAAATATTGCCTATTCCTGCAACCACCATCATCATTATCAGTGCGTGTGTGTGTTCCTTTCTCTGGCAGATAATTCTCTCTCTGGGGAGGGGCTGAGGTCAGTGACTCCTGGCCTTGGTTAACCCCTTAATGCACTGCTCCTCTCGCTGTCACTCTATGTTAGCGCCATTACACCTCATTTAGCCCATCATATAAGGCCCCATATTCCCCTATCACCCGCAACCATACCAACCAAAAAGCCAGGCACCATTTTGCTCTATCTACCCCCACTGCCTTCCTCTTAATCTTTGGGTTTCTTTTCCAGACAGACAGAGGTTGCAACTACCTCTGACCTCTCTCTATCTCTTCTCCCCTCTGCTCACTGCTTTCTAATTTCCCGTACCG